GACTTGCCATTGCGCGACCCTGAAATTTGGGAAGCGGGGCATCTGAGCTCGGTAAAAAATTGCTGAACGACTTTTTCCGGCAAAGTCCGCAAGTCGTAGCATGTTTCACCGCTTTTGGTGGTTTTCTTGTTCTTTGTTGCTTATTGTCGAGGACCGAGTGCGGCAGCCGCCGTCGACGAGGCCTGACCACGCAAAAAAAAATCAAAGCTAACTTTGTAAGGCAGCAGTTGCTGCCTGGAGCTGCAGGGTTGAGAGATTAAGGCTGTACGGCCAAATTTGAGTCTTTTTGCGCTTGAAAAACAAGTGACGTGTGAATTGCGCTGCGGGTTCGTGCAGGCGGCAGAAGGTGTTAGGATCCAGGAGTTGCAGCTTCAGTTGTTCTGCATGTCTGCTGCAGCTCACAATAAGCTTTAGCAGGTGCGGTCGCGGTGGAGAGGTGAGGAAACGCCTGCTTCGTTTTCAGCCTTGTACGCTTAATGTTTCGCTTTGGCTCCCACCCTCCCTCACCGTGGTCCACAAGCAGCTTTTGCGCTTTCAGCTGTGCTATGCTGCTTTGCTTACCAATGTCTTTGCACGCTGTTGCTTTGTTCTGTACTGTATATGGCAATACAGGCTTTTGCCAACGACTGCACAGCAGCTGCTTTCCGACCCGCTTTTGACCAAAGGTCGAACGCGTCCTACGACTTTGAAGCCGCAGTCGTTTTTCCGGCAAGCCGAAACAACAGAAGCTGAGCGAGTGAACGTTCGTTAGTCCGCTTTCTCTTGCTGCTTGTCACACTCTCGGTAACTCGCTTAACTTAGAAGCTCTAAAGCCGTATCCTTTGTTGTTGCGTGGTGGAACACTTCCCTGAACTAGCACGTCGGCTTTCCAACAACTGCAGAGGGTCAGCTGAAACTCGAAACCAAAAGTCTGGACCTTGAGCCTTAAACCCAAAATCTTACGTAAGCTTAAGGCGCGAAGATAAGCGAGACAGGGCATATAGACGCCAACAGCTTCACCAGACTACGCGATGCTTCAAGATCTTGGATACACGTGGAGCATGTTGAAACCGTACCAACAAGTGACCTCGAAACTCCGGTAGTAGGAATCCAGACCTGCGATCTGCAATGTTCTGTAGTAGAGATTTGCCGCAACTAACAGGCAAAGGTTCTCAGCTGCCCGAAAGGATTCCCAACCTCTCGTGACGACATGATTTTTTCCGTTCAAGCGTAAACCTGGTGAGTCTTCAACCATAGAATCTTCACATACAGTCTCGTTTCCAAAACTTGATTGGACTCTCGAACAGAAACCGAGCAAACTGGGTGGCAGTTGCAAAACCGGTCCATGGCATGACCCGGCCTGCCATTGACTTGGAATCGCTTGATTCTGCTGTCCCGTCAAGCAGCAGCCGAATCCGCAGGTGGTGGAGCCGCATGCAATGGCAGTGGTCCTTTCAATAATGTTTGCGATTCAGCTGGCTCTTTTCTCTGCATCCCCCGCCCGCGTCGGTGATCCTCGGTGTTGGGAAGGATTTGAGGATGATCGAAGAAAGGCTTGTTGTTCGGATGCCATGGCTTTTCTGCATCTGAACTGCGGGAAGCAACCCTTCGGTTTCGAGAGGTGCTGTTTCGACGTGGGGAACTCAGCCGAGTCTTGCACTCGCAGCCGGTCCCAGTTCGGCGAGGAACTTTCAGTCATTCAGCTTCTCGGCTGGCAGATGAAGAGAAATGGGATTTATGTGGAGATGGGTGCGCTGGACGGCGTCACCTACTCAAACACGCTCGCGCTGCAGACTTGCTTGGGGTGGACCGGGATGTTGATAGAAGGCAGTCCGCGCCATTTTCAAAGGTTGTACCAGAATTATAAGGATGTCGAGAGTGTGATTATCAGGTACGGGGCGGTGTGCGCACCTCCTCTGACGAACGCGACGTTCAGCAAAGGCATGCGCGTACCTTCTATCGATGGAGACGTGACGTATCTGCCCACAGGGCTTCGTAAACGATTTTCCTATCGCCGACAGCGAGTTGTTGTTCCTTGCCGCCCCATGGATTGGTATCTTCAGCAACTCCCGAAAAAGCATGTGGACTTCATGTCCTTGGATGTTGAAGGTGCTGAGCTGGAAGTTCTGCTCACCATGGATTTCACTGAAGTATTGGTGGAAGTGTTCTTGATCGAGTTACATGACTGGGGCAGATCCGAGCAAATACAAAGCTGGAAAATTAGGAAGCTGATGGGTAACCTTGGCTACAAGGAATGCAGGAACGTCGATGTCTGGCCGAACGGACTGTTCGTCCTTCAAGACGGACCATACTCAAGCAGATGCTCGTAAGAACGATCAGGTTTCTTGTGACACGCAGCGATACACGAGATTTTGCACGGCGAGCACGAGCACCGTGTCTGCGAATGTGTCGCAGTCGCTACCAAGACTGACCCGAGCTCAGCTCTGGGTGTTAATCAGGGGGGTGGAGACGTGTTGCATATCCGGCCATGTGACAAGAGTGGTGCTTTTCACTGGTGTGCAGTTTCTCCGGAAGCAGGATCACAAGCTTGGCCTTCAGGCGGCGGGGTAGGCTCGGTTCGCCTACGAACGCAAGTTCAGAGCCTGGAAGATCACAGCTTAGGCTTCTCCGCTGGAAACCGAGGTTCCAGGATGCCAGCATGAGGCCTTGGAGCAGTTGCTGTCGCGCGGTGTCCCGCCCACCTGGAAAAAACTGAACAGCTCAACAAGCTACATGCCTGTCGCTGCTACTCTTTGTAAGCGCCAGTCATGAGCGATCACAGCAGCATCGAAGCCAAGCCGGACCTCATAATCCGCTGCTCTTGCCATTTTGTGGCTGAAGCTGCGGCGACCTACCCATTCGATACCGAACCCGCATGCTGTTGTTCGTGGGGCGCTCAGGTAACCCGAATCCAGACATGCTGCACCGCACATCGGAAGCCTTCGGCTTTCGTAGGATCTCCCAACAAGGCCCTGTAGGGAGTCAACGGCCCAAAACCCAAAATCCCACGACATGGCCTCAGGCCCAGAATCAAGTTCCCGAAGCCCTCTATAGAGCCCCAGACTAGAACCTTCTGGCTCGGCGAGGTCACTGCAAAATGAAATCGATGGCGGCCACAGCCTCGGAGAGTATTCTGCCGACGTAAGTTGAAACAGAGGCGAATGTGGGACCTGAAAACATGAGAGTCATCTTGTTCTCTCATTGTTAAGAGCCCCAGGCCCCTCGTCGGGTGTTTGGGAATAGTATTGGTCATTTTCTGGCTTCCATAGTACTGCAATGCGAGCTTTGGTTTTGGGCTTTCTGTGTGTTTCGTTTCTACTGCCTGCAAGGTTGCACTTCCGCACTCAATCCTCCTCTGCTTCGCTATCACCGTTTGTGCCACGGAGCACTGTGAAGAGGACGAACCGAATTTTGTGTGGCGGTGCGCATTCCACACGGCCTCAAGTCCCACTGAGCCCTACGCATGGAACCTGAATCCGCTTGAACCGCACCCGCCCTACAGTACCTTAGAGCTTTCCGAGCTATTGGTGAGAGTTTCGGGGAAGGAGCACAGCACATTTCAGCTGCTGCAAGTGAGCCAGGCGGCCTTACGGGACTGGACCTGGGGCGGGGGTTTGAGCTCGCTATCGCCAGAGGAGTCTTCGCTTTTTCGGTGTTTCTTTGGGCAAAGAACGGGTTCGTCGTTTCGAGACCTCGTTCACGTTGCGCGGACTAGCGGTTCTTGGAGATTTGGGGCTTGGGAGTCTAGGCGTTCGGCTGTCCTGCTTTGGTGAAAAGTTTTTTTGTCGATTTTCTTTGCATAACATCCTAGACTCCTAGAGACACAAGAAGCTGAACCCCAATCTGCACAAATCGTAACATCGGACTCTTAGTTCAGCATGGGTTTTGAGATGTTTTGGGTCGAACTTTCGATTTCGACCCGTAAGTGATCTTAATGCCAACATGCAAGCAATTGGAACGCCCGCGAAGGGTAGGGCCCAGGGTGAATGCTTTGCACAAACACTCAAAGAATTCTTCGGAATTGGCCCCTCGCGAAAGCTTCTTCTTCGGCCAAAAATCCAGGCCCTCGACGTCCCCGCAGAGCGTGTAGAAGCTCAGCGGGAAGATGACTTGGGCTCAGAAATCGCTGTAACAGTGTGCCCCCATTTGCTGGAAATGGCTTCTTGCCAGTACCGCTGTCGTCTGCAAAGGCCTGTTCCAAGGGGGCCGGGTTTAGTGGATTGGATGCTTTGTCACCTTCACCCGATGGTTTAGAGAGTACGAAAGATCCGAGAGCAAGGTCGCACAGGGCTTCTTCCATGCCGTCGGCTCGGCAGAAGCAGCAGCCGTCCTGCCGCTGGGCCTGACATTTCAACTTCCGCTATGGCCATTATGGTATGTATATGCTAATAGAGAGCCCGAAATACAAAGTACTAAGATCCAAAAAAAGAAAGGGACCCCAAACAAGGCACCCGCGATTCTACGAAACTTCAACATTGTAATCTTGGTGCACGCTCCTGCGAACGCCGACTCCGATTAAACATGTTCTCCAAAGACCTTAACCTTTCCGCACAGGGGCGGGGCTCTTTGAGCAAAGGCCAGGAGTTTGGGGTTTAGGGTTGGTTTAGGGGTCCAGGGGTTTAGAGTTTTAGGGTTTAGAGGGTTCAGGGTTTTGGGTTGCAGCTCCCAGGCAGCCGGGGCTCATCGCCGAGCGCACCTTCGAGGATGCCCTTAGACGGGACCTCCCCTTCTTCATAAGGAAGTGGTCAAAGCCAGAAGTGATACAATAAATAAATCTACAAGTCTATACCTATGTATCTAAATTCAGAGGCTGTTATTGTTGGCTTTGCGATACTTCGCTCGTCTTCTGGAGGTGTGGGTTGCAGGGTGTAGGCTTTCTAGGGTTCTATGATATGCTAGGACTGTGGAGTGGATGTTTCGCCTTCTCCATGTCTTGATCGCCACGATATTTCAACGTAAACCTTGAGTCCGAAGCCGTGAACCGTCATGGCTACCTTAACCTACCCAAACCGACTTTTTGGTAGGGTTCTATATTTTCAAAACTGTGGTAAAAAAAAGAACCAACAAAAAGTCGGTTGTGGTAGCTTAAGCCAAGTCTTAGGATATTTTTTGGTAAGGGCGCATGAAGCTCCAGCGATCCCGAGAAGCCCGCAGGGCCTTTCGTCTGTAGTCCCGTTGACTGACCCGCTGGCACGCAAACTTTGGAATCGCCACAGACAAGAAGATACCCCTGTCTATAGACACGACAACAAGACTAAAGCGAAGAAGAATCATAAGACTCGGATGGCAGTAGACCTACGTGCAACATGACTGATGCTTCGTCTGGACGACAGGAGGTCTTCGTCACAGCCTCCTCGAAGCAGCAGCAGCCGGTGGCACTGACCCAGAAGAGCGCCCGGCCACCCGAGAAAGGACCACCGCTTCCAACGTACTCAGATCTTTCGTGGTTAGGTGCTTCAGCTCTCAGAAAGCTCTTCCGATCCGAAGTTGCCTCCATCCGTCGGACACAATGCTTTGCAGCTGCAGGGTTTCGTCGCAGGGGTTTAGGGTTTTGTCTTTAAGGTTAATTTATTGTTTAGGGAGTTCCGCTGCTAGCCCTCGCAAGTTTTGCAGCATGAGGGAGACCCCAACACCCGCAGATTTCGTCCTGGAGGCGAAGGCTCAAACATGTCTGCTGTCGATCTTCGCTTTGTCAACATCCGTCGTCGAATTCTTGTGGTGACACCTTTTCATTGTGGGGCTTTCGTTTTAAACACTGTACAGCTTGTAAACCGCGTAAAACCTCGAGTATAGCAGCTCCCGCGCCGAAGCCTCTTGAAAACCTCTGAGGCCGAAGCTGCCGTGGGAACGGAGACCATCTGCATCATCGTGTTTCGGGCTCGGCTCGGATCCGGTTGGGGTTTAGGGTTTTGGAGGTATAATGGTTTTGGGGTTTCGGGATTTAGCGGTTGCGGTCTGGAGCACAGGTTTTGGGTTATTGCTTTTCGATGGGGTGCACTGTGGGTGCTTGTTGCAAGCTTCATGCCGCAGAAGCATCTGTCTGCACCGCTAAACCCTCGACCCTGAACCTCGAACCCTAAGCCTTAAACCCTGTTCTCATGCTTTGGTTTGTTACTTACGCCCGGTTGCAAAGCATAAGTTGCAGCGTAAGCCTTCGGTGTCCAAGGAGGTCGGAGGCAATCGAGGTTTGGAGTTCGGGGGTTTTCGTATCTCTCGGCTTCAAGGGTAACAGGAGACAGGCCGAAGCTCCTTTTGAGCCAGTCAGGAAGAGTTCCTGAAACTCGCTTGCGAGCGTCAGTGGCGCGCAGGAGTAGCTCGGTGCAAGAGAAACCCCGGAGTCTCAAGGGGCGCCGTCCTCCTGGCGGTTCTGGTTTGCCTGATCTTCTGCTGCTTCCGCCCCGCTGTGTCCTACGAAGAGGCGGGATCTCGAGCTTGAAAGCCGCACCACTCCAATCCAATATCAGCAGAGCCCTGAAGTGAAACGGAGCACGAAAGATCTTTAGAGGATCCTAAACTTTAAACCCTGAACTCTGAACCCTGAACCCTAAACCCTGAGCCCCAAAGCCCAGAAGGCGAGCAAGGAGGGCCAGGGCCAATTCATCCCCGCGGGCGCCGCAGCGCTCCAGCGGCCCGGACCCTCAGAGCTTTGGGGATGCCGCAGACGGACCGGAAGGGATCGTCCAGTAGAAGGACTTGTATTGTAGTATGTGGTCTTCTATCATGTTACAATAGTATCTTGTCATATCTTCTGGTATGTTCTCTTAGTTTGTTATTATCTTGTATGAGGATTATAAGTTTTAAACCGTTAGCCCCAAAACCCCAGATTATAAAGGGGCGACTGTTGTTGGCTTCGTCTTTTGGTGACGCTGCTCTCGGATATGCTTTTTCGAGGGGCTCGGACTTGATGGGCTGCATTTTGGGGATTTTTGGGGTTGAGGGCTTGCCTTTGCCGCAGAGCTTCTTCTTGGGTCTTGTCCGAAATCGTGGCAGCAGCTGTCACGCCTGAATGCACCTAGAACCCGAACCCCTATGTCTACATTATATGATCTGTATATATATATATATTTAATGTATATATGTATGTACGTATTCATGTATATATGTATATATGTATATGTGTATATGTATATATGTATATACACATACATACATCTAATTTGTACATACCTCCCTCCCTCTCTCTCTCTGTTTCCCCCCTCCGCCCAGGCGGCCTCAGAACCAAGACTGCTGCTGACCTGCTGACCGCGTGCGGGGGGTGCCATCCGAGTGTGGGAGCAAAAGGAAGAGTCAGAGGGCTAATGCCGCCATCTGCCGCCCTCCAGGCCGTCCATACTCCGCTGTGTCCTGCACCGATATGTTGTGCCCCTTAATTATCCGCAGTCGCCTTGGCTTGGAGCCCTTCAAGGCATCGACAACCCTGGAAGCAAGGGATTGTCTGTGTAAGTGTAAGCCTACCGTCTCCAGTCCTCCGAAGAGACCCTCGATTCCCTACAAGCCCCGGCAACGAACCCGAAAGGTGCGAAGACCAGGCTCAGCCCCAGCCCCCCTATAGCCCCAGCCACCTGCCCCCTCACGCCTGCACATGTGGGAAGTTGTGTGAACCTGGGTCGTCCCAGCCGATGCTGCGGGCTGGCCGAGCGGGCGTGCAGCGCAGGGCCCCTAACAAATCTCAACACAGGACACTCATTTGTGGCATGCTGTGGTGCCGCAAACTCCGACTGCAAGCGACTCTTGACCAAACGCACCTTGCTCCACAAAGAGGAAAGACGAGGGAACTTGGGGCTTCTTCGTTTTTTTTTGAATTAGTGCCCAGCCTCCCAAGAAGCCGAGCCGGCCCCAGGCATCGAAGTCTCCAGAGAGGCCGCCCCAGGCCGTCGTCCGCTGCTCGGAGTGCTCTCGTCTCAGGGCTTCTTGAGACTCAAAGCATGGGGCGTGTGCTCTGTTGCCAAAGCGCTGTGAAAGGCCAGCTGTTTTGAGCAGCAGTCCTTTGCCCTTGTTTTCATTGTCTTTCTGGCGGGTGTCGTCGTTACTGTTGTGGTTGCTGCTGTACCTGAACCTGATGTTGTTCTCACTTAGCCGTTTCTCGGTGGGAAGAGTCGACACTGCTTGCAAAGAAGAAAAAGATGAAGATGAACGAGCCGCTGCCAGGGCTGGTATTCGCAAAGCCCTGCCTCACGCCTCTGGGCGAGGAGACACCCGCCGAGAAGCTTTCTAGGATCGAACTTGAATTTTCTATTCCTCGCCTCGACTCCACCCCAACATGAAGCCATTAGCCACGGATCCTTCAACCCTACACCACATGCCCCGAAGCAGCTTCTGTCTGGATCCCGTCCGCCTAAAGCCTGAACCCTCAAGGCCCTCAAAGCCCTAAAGTGGATCCCTAAACCCCAGCAAGGCATCGAGCCAGAGCCTCGGGGGTCTCAGGAGGTCTTCGGCTGTTTCTCGGACCAGGCCTTTAGTTCTGAGAGCAAGGGCCCTTAAGAGGCTTTGGCAGCGTGGGGCTCAGGTACAGATTGGGATCCAGCGGGTTTACAAAGGCTGGTGTGATCAGTTCGAGCACCGGAGCACAGCCTCAGCACATTGGTCAGACAGTCAAGCGCACAGGCGGCAGCTTCGGGAGAGTTGAGGGCAACGTGTGGTTAAAAGGAGCAAAGCCGGTTGGTGACATCGTTTCCAAAATGGTCAGCCTTTCACGTCGTTCCGCGAGAGTCATGGCAAGGGGGAGTCACGCAGAGCTTTGAGAATGGCTGGGGCGAACCTCCATCGGCCCAACCGAGGAGCTGCTCAGACATGACTACTTTTGAGGGGGTGCACTCCAGAAACACGCAAGCAACACGAGCTACCTTGCGGGGGGTGGGGGCGGGGTTATTGGTTAAAGGTTCACATCAAGCCTTAACCGATATCACAACTGACATTGTTAAACATCGAGGCGCTTTGCCTTCCAAACCCTGTCCCAGGCATCCCAAGTCCACAAGCCGGACAAAGTAACGAGTTTTCATGGTAGGTAGATCCTAAACTAGAACCCCAGCAGAACCGCAGGAATATGTCCCATAACCGCATTGACATCAAGGCTTCCGAAAAACCATGGCAGTGTGCCGAGGTCCAAAGGTCCGGCTTCTGCCCCGGCAGAGGCAGGGCTTTACTTGGTAATAGGGATCTTCTTTTGAGGGGCCGAGGGACGTTTGAGCGGCTTGGAGTTTCGTTTTGTTGAATTGTTTTGGTGGAGGGGCGCGGTCCGTTTCGTTTTTTGGCACTGGGGGAGGGGGGGGGACGGGTTTGTGACATGTCTGGAAATCATGGTTTCGGGTTGTTCCGTGTTTGCCGCAAAGCTTCTCAAGCAACCGAGATGCAAGCTGGCATGCAACCTCATTATGCTCCTCCGTACAATCCGGACTACGATCCCTGGCAAGAAGATTCGGATGAGTCCGAGTTTCTCTACGGCGAGCCGTCTGAATTCCAGCGTGTGCAAGCGGCCCTGCAAAACGCAGTTTTGGACAGTGCAGAGGCTTCGGACATTGCGAATGCGCTGACACGAACACAGTTGCCAGGACTCGAGAGTATGAGCGTTCCAGCGCTCGAAGCACACATCGCTGATCGTGCCTCAGAGTTGAGAATGCTCGTTACCCAGCTCGAGAGGCTGAAAAGTGCTGAAATCACTTTGGACCTGCTTCTACCATCGGGCCGCTCTTTTGCACACGTGGTGAAGATGAGGAGCAGGATCTCAGCAATCTGCAAGTCAATCCGGCGCCGTGAGCTGAAAGGCTCGAAAGACGGGGAGGTGAAGCTTGTTTTGGGGACTTTGGAGATGCAAGGAGACAAGACCGTCTTTGACTACGGCCTGGCAGATGGAGATTCCCTGACGGTCGTATTGCAAGCGGCCTCGGAGCCGTCGCGATGGTCCCAGCTGTGGCCCCCCGTCCGTTCCGGAATGCCTTGATCGGCTCGATGTCTTTTGGGCGGTTTTGGGTCGAACCCTGTGCTGCCGTATCACGCAGTGTCACACCTCTTGTTCAAATTCACTTCCGACGATTTCCTGGGTGCCAAAGCCTGCAGCCAAAAGCGATGCATGAGCTGCGACAGAAGAGGTGGAGGCCTCCCCCTGGTCGTCGTGACATGAACCCTCCAAGGCTCTGGTGATCGAGTTGCTACCCTGGATAGGCTGTCTCGACATCCGAGACCCCCCTCCCCTCCCAGAAGCAAACGAGGCCAACAAACGGTAAATGACCAGCCATCAATCTCCATGTTCTGAAGGCCCTCCACAACAAACGCAGAAGGTTTTGAGTGGCCTTCTTCCTCGGTTGTTGGGATACATCGGATGGAAGGCTTCGGGCGAAGTCGATAGCATCTTTTTCAGGTCCACGGCTTTGGGCTTCAGGCTTTGAACTTTGCAGGGCTCTTTAGGGATTTGAGGATCTCCAGGTCTGCAAAAAGATTCAAAAGTAGCAGAAAACGAAGCATGATGCTTGCGCTGAGGAGGCTGACACTTCGAAGCGTAGCCAGTACCTTTCAACCTAAAGCCCCAACCCCGAACGTGCCCTGCCAAAACAAGGAACTAACCCCACACCAAGCCACTAAACGACCTGTTCAACAGATCAATCCCCTCCAACCCCCATTGTCTAATGCAGAGCCCTAAATTAGTTTATGCATATCACTTTTTTGGAGGCCTAAACCCAAAACCCCTAAAACAAAAAGCAACTTAAGCCCTAAGTGACCCCAGAAAAAGGGAGCCCTGATAGGACCGAGCCGGCCTCTTGAGCTTCCGCTCCCTGGCGGAGAAGGTGGGGGTTCAGGGTTTAGGGTTTAGGGTCTAGGGTGCCTCTTCACAGGGCGGATCGCGGGCGGGGGGGGGGGGGGGGGG